AATTAATTAATTATATAATTAATTTATGACAATATTAATATAGAGAGAGAGATATTTATATAGAGATATACAGTTAATTATAGTCATAATCTATAAATATATTAATAGATTTAAATGACATTGTTTATTTTCATTTATTTTTTAAAAATTAAAAACTAAGTTTTAAAGTGTTTATATAATGTAATTTAAAAAAAAATGAATACAATAATAAAAGTTATTAATAAATGATGATAATAATAATAATTATTATTTTTTAAAAAAATTATAAATTATTACAAACAAACAAAATTTACAAATTATTATTATTATTATTAGAAAACATTGATAAATTTAAAATGTATAATCAATGTGATAATTATTTTTTTAATTAAAAAGTTTATTTAATTATTATTTATTAAGATATTATTTAATTATAATTGAAAACTTTCTTTTTTAAAAACTTTTTTTTCACTAAACTAATTATCAATAATTATCACTTGATTTAACAATTTTTATATATAATATTTTGATTATTATTTCAATTTTAGAAAAAAAACAATTGTTGTTTTGATTATTATTATTAAATTTAATAATTATTAAAAACTATATAGATAATATTATTTATAAATGTATACAATTATAACATAGTTAATTTGATAAATTTATATATATATATAAATAATTAGACATATTTTTATAAATCTAGATTAATATATATAAATATTTATATATGCATGCAATGTATGTATCCATTAATAAATGTAATATATTTATACTATATATAGATATATAATGTGTGATTTGTTTTATAACACTTAAAAGTGTTTAAATTGAATTAATGTTTTAATTGTTAATTTATAATTAATTATAATTAATAATTATTAAGAAAAAAAATAATATTATTTATATCCTTAAATGTCAATACATTATTATTATTATTATAGACATATATATTTGATAATGATGAATAAAGCAATTTTAAATTGCTACTTTTCTAAATTAGATAATTAATTTATAAAATTTTTTTATAAACTATTTAATTATTAAAAAAAAATTATTATCATAAATACTGTATATATATATATCAATAATGATGATTCATCTCAAATGTTATACAAATTGAATATATAGAAAAAAATTGTCGCAAAAAAAATCATTTAATAATATCACTTAACTCTTAACTCATTTTACTGTATATATATATATATATATTAAATCATTATCACTATTACAATCATTGTCATAATTTTTGTTTTGTTTATCACTCATCAATTTACTTATTTATTTATCATTATATATATCACACCATTAATTGGGATTTCATATATGAAATCCCAATTAATACAATTTTTTTATAAATTTTTTTGTCTCTCTCTCTCTCTCTCTATTTTTCAAAATACAATAATTTTTTAAATTTTAATTAAAAAACATTGTAATTGAAATTTTTAGAGATAAAAAAAATCTTTTTTAGTCTCAAACATATACATTACATGTACTGTAGGCTAAACTTTTGTTTTTTTTTTTGAAAAAAACAAACTGATTCATACAATTAATATATAAATATATTGTATAATAATATAAATATATATACATTCATACACACACAACCGTAAACGCATACACACACACACGCTATGCTTTTCATTGATATATATATATTAATATATATATATATATATATATATCTATACTTTATTTTACTAGTAATTAACATTTTGTTTGATTGATTGGGGTTTTTATATTTGCCGACAAAATCAATGAGATATAGTATATATATATAGTATTTTTTTATAGTAAAAAACACAAATAATAATTATCGTTAATAATCATGAAATAAACTAAAATTAACAATTGTTTTTTTTAAAGTGATAACTACTATACCCCCCACACACACTATTAATTGCCTAATTAAAAAAAAGTTTTAAAAAACAAATAAATTAATAGAAAACAAATAATGTTTTACTATTATTTTTTTATTATTATTAAGTCATTTAAGTAATAAAACAATTTTATTATAAATTTTTGATTGCAATAAATAATGCTTTTAACTCACTTTTTTTCTCTCTTTCTCTCTCTCTCTCTCTCTCTCTCTATATATATATATATATATATATATATATCACACATTTTTATAAGCCATCCATTAGCTATCAAAACAATTTTAAGTTTATCTCATTTTAGTCTCTCTCTCTCTCTCTCTCTCTCTCTCTCTCTCTCTCTCTCTCTCTCTCTCTCTCTCTCTCTCTCTCTCTCTGACTCTCTCATTGACTCTATTTATTTGATTTATAAATTAGGACATAATGTTAAAAACATATAATACAGTATATAATGTATATTAAACTCATACTACAATATTATTGACTATTGAAAACAAAAAAAAAAATATAAAATTTGATTGATATTAGATTAGAAAGATTTTTAAATATACAGTATATATATATATTATTAGATAATTTTTACTAATGTAATGCAAATAAGCATATTTGTCATATCATATATGATATATATATAGCAATTTAAAAACAAATTTATACTGTATATAACACAAACATAATAATATTATAATAATTGATAGAAAAAAAAATAATTCAATAAAAGACATAAAAGTAAAATATAAATCAATGTCATTCAAACATAAAGACATATCTTATATATATATTTTTTAGTAGATTTATATAGAAATTAATAATAAAATACTAAAACATTTTGTAAAAAATATTTTATGAATAAAAAAACGAAACAAAAAATAAAATAAAATAAATATTTTCTATTGAGAAATATTTATATATATATATCTATTACTATATTGAAACAGTTTTTATCATTTGATATATACATTAGGATCGTATGATATAATCTAATAATTTATCACAAAAAATAACTATTTATTTTTCCTATATTTAGATACACTTAATGTACACTTAATAGGAAAATAAAACATATTTTGTGTATATATTTTTATTTATGTCCGGAAACTCAAATATTTTGTTATTTTTTTAAAAAATATTAATAATAAATAGTTTCTGTAAGTAAAAAAAAACTAAACATATTTTTATATTATTTTTTTGTTATTGAATATTACAAACAATAAATCTTATTAAATGTAATTATTAATATAAAAATTTTATTCTATATATTCATATAAAAAAAACATTTCAATAGTAAAAAATAATTTAAATGTTTAGAAATCAACAAAAAAAATTCTGATTATAAAAAAAACGAGAAAAATTTTTAATAATATGTTTGAAAAAAAATATTTTAGAAATTTTTTTTTCATTTTTATTACAAATATTTTTCATAACTATTTTGGATTGTTGTTAATTATGTTAGTAATTAATTTTAGTTATTATAGTTATTTAGAGAGAGAGAGAGAGAGAGAGAGAGAGAGTTCCCAAATATATGCAAATCTTTATCCAAAAAAAATTACCGATGATATTAAATATCATATAATTTCTACTATTAATAATATATTTTTTTAAATAATTGCAATCATATATCATCATAATATATAATAAAATAATAATAATAATAATATAAGATTGTGTGTGTGTGTGTGTGTGTGTGTGTGAGTATTAGTAGCAATAATTCAAAATCAATTGAAATTTAATGTAATTATTATTTTTTTTTATAAAAAAAATGTATTGACATTTACTAATTATTGGATAATATGTAGTGATTATTATGAATATAATAGATTAATTGATTATTAATAATAATAATAATATCAAATTATTATTTGATTGTTTCAAAAAAAAAATGTTGTAAAAATGACAAATATATTTATATATATATTTAAAAATGTAATTATATTATACTGGTTTTTTTTTAAATATTTTAAATATAATGTATATATTTATATACCGTATAAATATATATATATATATATAAATTTATATATTAAATAAAAATTGACAACTAGTTTCAATCACTCACAATACAAAATACATACATAAAAATTAATTTTAACTTAAAATAATAATAATTGTATTATTATTATTACTACTACTATAGTAATTAGTGATGACTATACCAACAACAAAAAAAATAATAATAATAATGGCCAGTCATATATTATGGCTCAACGGGCGATACCGACCTGGACTGTGACATAGATCTTATGGATGCCCGGCTGAATGCCGATCCAGTGCCGCCACCGGTGCTACCGTTTCCGCCGCCGCCGCCACTGGCCGTCGATCGTCTAGTGACCAGCGATAGTGCTTCGTTATTATTATTTTGATTGGCTGCCGCAGCCGCAGCAGCGGCCGCCGACGACAACGGTATATTGTGAGCCCAGGACAAGGCGGCCGAGCACTCGGGCCTTAGATAGACGGCAGCAGCGGCTGCCGCTGCGGCCGCAGCTGTCGGCGACGACATATAGTGAGCAGCAGCCGATGTGGCAGCCGATCGGTAGGCGCTGCCACTGTTGTGATGATGGTGTTGGCTGTGGCTGTTGCTGTGGTGGATGTTGTTCAGCCGCGAAGCAATCGACGACGGCGACAGTCCGGCGGCTGCAGCCGCTGCGGCCGCCGCCGCCGCGTGATGTGACGACAGTCGCTGGTCGTCCATATAATGGCAAAACTGTAGATTCAGAAACCGGTTGACTACAGGTGTTTCGGGCGGCGTATCGGAGCCAATACTACCGCCGCCGACTGAGTGATTGCTGACCGGCGGTGTCGATGCCGACGTCGGCGATGATAACTCATCGAAAAACATCTGTCTCTTAGCTAAAGATAAAATATATGAAAAAAATTAATACTAATAATAATTTTATTATTATTTTTTTTAAATATTATATTTCTATGATTTTTTTAAATATTACTATTAATATTATAATAATATTATTATATTTTTTAAAAACTATTTTGTTTCAATAGAGAGAATAAAGTTATATTATATATATATATATATAAATTATTTAAAATATAAATAAATAAAATACATATAAATTAAAAAATTAAATATTAACTTTTTTAAAAAAAAAGATTTTCTAATAAATTTTTTTGCTTATTTATTGTCAAATAAATAATAATAACATTTATTTGACATTATTTTTTAACTAATACTCTGTTTTTATTTATTATTATTATTTTGTTTTACTTTAAATTGTTTTTTATTTGTGTGTTATATAGAAGATTTAGTTTTTATTTTAAATCCAAAAAAAATAATAATAAAATAAATAAAAATTTCTATTATTTAGTATTTTTATTATTATTGTTGTAAACTGTATTATCTTATATTTAATGTAAAACACAATCATTAAAACAATCTTAAAGTAGATTTAAAATACTGTAGATATACAGTCGCATTCAGAAGGGTGGTAACTCGTTTTTAGTGAATAACTCACTAAATATAATAGATAGAATAAAACTATTATTTTTGGTACTATGGTTTTCTGGGACGGATATTATAAAATTTTAATATTTCATGTAGCGCAGCTCAGGGATGTAGGGACAGGGAGGTACTGTATCTCAAAAACTATAATAGATATCAAAATATAGTAAAAATTATTATATACAGGGTAAAAATTCATTTCATACGTGTTTTAGGATTTTTAAAAATATTGAGTTGTTTTCAAACAAAAAATATAAAACTGTCAAAAATGCAAAAGTTTGATATAGGTTAAATTAAAAGTGTCAAGGTGTTTTAAAATTTAATTAATTGATCTAGAATCTATATTATATGCTTAATAATTTGTCTATACATGAATTTTAATTATATAAACTAGTTACTTAGTTATTTAATAAAAACTATTTTTCCATTATATAACAAAATTAATATTAAGTAATATTGCACTTATGTATTATTTAAATTACATAATGAGAGAATAGTTTTTATTAAATAACTAAGTAACTAGTTTATATAATTAAAATTCATGTATAGACAAATTATTAAGCATATAATATAGATTCTAGATCAATTAATTAAATTTTAAAACACCTTGACACTTTTAATTTAACCTATATCAAACTTTTGCATTTTTGACAGTTTTATATTTTTTGTTTGAAAACAACTCAATATTTTTAAAAATCCTAAAACACGTATGAAATGAATTTTTACCCTGTATATAATAATTTTTACTATATTTTGATATCTATTATAGTTTTTGAGATACAGTACCTCCCTGTCCCTACATCCCTGAGCTGCGCTACATGAAATATTAAAATTTTATAATATCCGTCCCAGAAAACCATAGTACCAAAAATAATAGTTTTATTCTATCTATTATATTTAGTGAGTTATTCACTAAAAACGAGTTACCACCCTTCTGAATGCGACTGTATATAAGGATTAGTTATTATATCATATGATAGTTTAAAGTAACAAAAAAAATATAATTTTTAAAAAATTTTCTTGATAATAATAATTTCAACATCAAAAAAAGGTACAAGTACAAGTAAACAATAAATTAAAAAAAAAATTTAAAAATGTACAAATAATACATTAAATACAAAATTTAAATAAATTAAGTAAATAAGGAAATTAATATTTTAATATTGATATATATATGATAATAATTAAATATCTAAAATGTAAATATAAAATATTTTATATAATATTTAAATAACTATATTATGATAATATTTATAATTTGACATTTAATATTTAATAAATAAAAATTACTAAAAAAATAAGTAAATATTAAAAAAAAATTTAATCAAATAGTTTTTTCTAGAAAAAAATGCTAAAACAATTGTAAAAAATATATACAGGTATATATATTTCATTAATTAAAAAAAAACATTGGTAACAGTTAAATAAATAATAAATGTACTGGCTAAATTTTGATTCAAGATAAGCCTATTATTATTATTATTTTTGTAATAATATATGATTACCTAAAAAAAATTATATCAAACTTATTGTTGTAATATATATATAGTAATCATTATAGTTATAGAAAAATTGATAACCCTGGTAATAATAGACAGATTTATTATTATTTAGTAAATATTTTTATTTATTTTTTGTTACCAATTGTTTTTAATGTATTTATTATTAAGTAGCATAAACTATAATACTAATAATTAAATTGTTTCAATTAGTTATTTGTTTGTTCAATATTTCTAATATATTTTTTTTAAAAAAATAAAAACTACACATAATTAAATAACGATTAATATTTTTCTAGCATATTATAAATGATATTAATTTAAGCATTTTTATATGCAACATAAAAATGTATTGTAGTATTTCAATACATTAGTTAACAATTACGATAATATAAAAATAAAATAAAAACGTAAAAAAATAAAAATAATAATTTGTTTTAAAAAATAAACCATTAATATTACTATACAATATCAAAAATAAAATAAAATAAAAAAAATACTTCAATAATAGTTTATAACTATTTGTCTATTATAATTAATTAATTTTTTATTTATTTTCCCAATTAAATAAACTAAAATACTTTAAGTACTGTAATTAAAGTACTGTATAACTAATATTTAACATTATTTTTTTATATAATAATAAAATAGTTAAACTTTATATATATATATATTTAGTATTTTTAAAATTACTGGTAAAATAGAAAAAAATAAATTGTATACTAAATACATACTGTATATAAAATTCATGAAAACATTAAAAAATAATTAAATATAATAGAAAGTAAAAGTTTTTTTTAAATACTAATAAAAAACAATAATAATAATAATAGTAATAATAAGTATAGTATTAACGTTTAATGTCATAGTTGATGCTTATTATATAATTTATATATATATATATATATAAAATACTCTCAATTTATAAAAGATTTTATAACAAAAAAAAATAAAATAATTTTATCTTATTTTTCATTAAATATTTATTTTATATTTAGTTTTTATATATTATAGATACCTTAACATTAAGGGGTCAAACTGGGAATTTAAAGATTATATACTGTATTATAAAGTATATCATATATATATCTATATTATTAAATGATTTTTTATTTAGTTATTTATTTATTTTTTTAAATATAAAATCCTAATAATTTTGATTGTCTAAAATCTTACAAATAAAATACAACATAATAATAGTTTTTTTTGTTGATAAATATTTTTGTTGTTGTTGTTGTTGTTAATCAACAAAATAGTTTTAGCAATTATTTTAATGATTAATTGAGATAGGTCAATCATATCTGAATTGATATGGTGACCTTATGATAAAGGTCAATAAGGTTATTAATTGCCAAACAAACAAACAAAAATTAATAATAAATAAATAAATAATTTTTTATTGTTATGTATAATATTGATTACATTAATCATCATAACTATCATAACTATTTATATACAGTATATTATCCACAAATTAATTACTAATTAAAACTAATTATAATAAATTTAGAAATAAACTACATTTGTATTATTATTACTACTATTATTACTACTACTACTACTACTACTACTACTACTACTACTACTACTACTACTACTACTACTACTACTACTACTACTACTACTACTACTACTACTACTACTACTACTACTACTACTACTACTACTGGTAATTGTAATAATAACATATCACCAAAAAAAAAATATATATATATATAGGACATACCATTGATAATGGCCTTATAGGCGTCATCGTAGTCCATCTTATCGTTTAACAGTGCAATAATAGCGCACCGGGCGATCTCTTCGATAGATATTTTGGTGGCCAACTCGTCCCAAATGTTGCGATACATGCGGCCCATCCGGTGGCGCATTTGGTGGTCAACTTTTTGATGATGATGATGTTGGTGATGGTCGGCGTTGTTGTTGTTGTTGAGGTGGTGGTGGTTGTTGTTGTCGGCCACTCCAGCCATCAGTCTGGTCGGCGATGGCTTACGATCGATAAGGACACTACCGGCAGCTGATGCAGACGACATGGCCAGCTTACCGATACTATGACCACTGCTAGCATTGTTGTTGTTGTTGCTGTTATTGATGATGTTATTGGCATTGTTGTTGATACCGATGCCCGGACCGACGGTATGACTATAGTTGTTATTATTATTGTTGGTGTTGTGGTTATTATTATTATTTTGATTATTATAGTTATGATTATTATTATTATTATTAGCAATAATATCGGTATTATATAAAATTTTGTTGTTGCCGACGGCTGCGGCTGCGGGTCTACCATTACCGCTACTATTACCGCTACAACGGCTCAGAGAGTTTTGATTGGTGGACGATCCCGAAGAACCTGTAGTTTGGTTAGAGATAGAGAGAGAGAGAGAAAAATTATATATATATTTAGAAAAAGACAAATAATTATTTCAATAGAGATATAAAATAAGACTAAAATTTTTATAAAAAAAATAGTTATTAGAAAACAAAATTGTATTTTTTTAATATTTAATAAAAAAAAATATTTTATAGTGAAAAAAGATAATTAAATTCTAGATTATATAATAATAATAATAATAATATTGTAATATACAGTAGTAATACTGTAATAGTAATAATAATAATAAAAAAAAACATTATTTCAGTCAATTTAATTGTTTAGTGTATGTAATATTAATAATAATATTATTATTAATACTATTTATGGTATTAAAACAAACTAAAAAAATAATGGCAATAATATATTATTATTAATAATAATAATAAAAATTATTATTATATTGAGCCTATAATAGGCTTTTCAAACAAACAAACAAAAAATGATTTTAAAGTAATTATTTAAGTCAGTCATAATAATACTAATAATAATAATAAAGTTATTTTTTAAAACAAAATATCAATAAAAATTACTTATAATTTCAGACAAAATACAACAACAAAAAAATCAGTCAATCAATAGTTAAGAGAGTCGGCGGAGCTTTTTATCAAAACATTTTATATTAAAACTTAAATATACAGTATATATATATATATATATAACATAATATATAATATAATGTATATGAAATTACAAAAAAAAATTATGGCAAATTATCGACAAATTATTATTGCTTTAATAATATATATATTAAATATAATTGTTGGCATTTTTATGATGCAAAAAACAACAACAAAAAACTATTAATGATTTTTTTTTTATAGATATCATATAGAAATTATATCATAATTTGATTTTATATATTATAACAAACAATATATATATATATATAACAGTAATTTATATATAAGTTATATCAAGTTTAAGATTACGTGAGAAATGACAGCAAATCACACAATTTATATATCAATATATATATATATATATAGTATATATATATAGTACCAGTAATTAACTTTTTTTATATCATAATACAGTTATATATATATATATATATATTACTATTGCATAAAACTATATATATATATATATATTAAGATTTTTAATTATGCAATAATTGCATTAATAATTATATATTTTTTTCTAAATTACACAAAAAAATCATAATACTCTATGGTTTTATAAACGTTATATAATTAATATAAAGGTATTTAATGATTGCTCGGAGCCAAACACAAGTATGTTTAACTTAATTAATTAGTTAGTTAGTTATAAATTAGTTGGTTGGCCAGTATGGTCATCGGCGATGATGATGGTGTTGTTGTTGTCGGGAATATCCGGTAACGGCTATCTTGTCGCATATGAGCCACTGTTTTGTGTATATTCAATCCTACAGTATATATAGTATATACACACATATATATATTTAGATGAATATGGCATACAAACAGTTGGTCATAAAAAAAACAAATAGATATATTTGTTTTGGTGTTTAGTTTTTAGTTGGGGGGCAAACCTTTATGGGTATCGAAATATCGATTACAATGTGGACAGTCGTGTCGTAGTACTCTACTATTGTTTGACTGGTAGTTATACAGCCATTGTATGTCCGGATTTGCAGATAATTTGCGTACGAAAGCGCCGGCGGCGGTGTTAGTGCTAGTAGTAGTATCGGTAGTAGTAATGGTAGTGCCGTTGCCGCCAAAATCGGTAACCACTTCCTCCTCGTTGACACAGTTGTCGATTATGTAACCGAATGGCGAATTGTTGCCATCGAAGTCGTTGACGACCATATCGTTTGTCGTCGGCGTCTTCGTCATCATTATCATCGACGACGACGACGATTGGTAACAATCATTAGTAGTTTTGTTAAATTTTTGCGGACAACTATCGCCGGCGGCAGCGGCGACGGTATTATTATTATTATTATTATAGATAGCGCCGTCCAAATCGGCCAATTGATGGTAGACATCGCCAAACGATTGCCAATCGCCGTCGACAGCAAGTGTGGCCGTATAATTGTGGTCTAACCGGATAATCCATAAATCGGGACATTTGACAACATCGGCAGTGTCTGTGACGACGGTAGCGGCGGCCACACTGGCCACCATCGGGTGCTGATTTTGTTGTTGTTTGGAGTTTTGTTGTCGGGACTCAATTGTACTGATCTTTTGTCTCAACAACTGATTCGTGACTATACTGTCCATAAGTTTGTCCTCTCGTTCGGCAACATTGGCCTCAAATATGGCATCATTTTGTTTGAGCAGACATTGGGCGCGAGCGTCGCACAGTAGTCGGTAATCGTCAAACACATTGTCGACCATTTTTCGGTTATCATCTCCACCGCTGCCGCCGCCGCCACCACCGCTGATAAGGCCGCTATCATTTTCGTCGATCAGTGCGGCCGTCAATTCATCCAATCGGCGGACAATGACCTGCCGATCGCATGACTTTCGTCGGTCATCGATATTGTCCAATGCCGAATCCCAGCCCACCAATTGGCCATGAAATCTGGCCACCATATTGCTCAACATTTGTTCATTGTTTTTCAATCGGATATACTGATCGTTAACCGATCGGACACTGGCCAACATGTGATCGACTTGGCCAATTCGGCGTTCGAAATCGGCAATCAATTGGTGGCCATTAAAGTTGTCCGCTTTGCCGACATAAGTGAAATCACTGCTGTCCGAGTCGTCTACGCCGACAACTGGCCGCCATTCAATTGGCAGTTCGGGAGGCGGTTCATGCATTGTAGGGTATGGTTAGTGTGTCATCCGAGATGTGTGTGTGTCTGTTATACCCGACGGGTGTTGTCTGGTCTTCGGTAATGTTATTGTTGTTGTTGTCAAACAATTACCGATTCATTGATTGATTCAATCAATCAATCAATGGATTTGTCGATAAATTTTTTAGTGTTGAATATCACGTGATATCATATAACGTGTTATAGCTTTTTAGAATAGAGTAGTGAACACACATATATAGAGTTGGGTTGGATTTTAATTAAATAGAGCGGTTTTAAACCCAACAAATAAATTTAAAAACCCGTTATTTTTTTTTTGGGGGGGGGGGGTTACGTTTTTTTTTATTAATTAATTAAAAAATTATTTTTAAAATATAAAATAAAAAGTATTTTTAGTATTTAACTAAATTACTAAATAAAATAATAAGATTTGGTTTTTGTTTTTTTTCATATTATTATTTTTTAGTTTTATTTTAACAATTTTTGTTACTATTTATTTTTGAAAGGTTAGGTTCGGTGCAATTATATTTTGGAGAGTTAGAGATAGATCTCTAGTATATTCAATTGATTGTAGCGCCAAAAAAAATTAATAAAATAAAAGTCAAATATAGTATTCAATAGGAAATTATTTTTTTTTTATAGGAAATTCCCGATAAAACAAATTATTTTAATTTCCTCCTCTCACCCCACCCCCACCCCCACCCCCAAAAAAAACCATGAGCAAGATCATTTTATTTTGGTTCAATAATTGCTTTAAATTTTTTTTTAGTACAATAAAAATATTAGATTAAAGTAATATTTTTACAGTTTTTTAATTTAAAAATTTTTGTGTGTTGACTAAATTGATTGATTTAATTGTGTTATAGTTTTTTTACCTAAATGTAAAATAGTTTTTAATTAAAATATTTTTTTTTGTTTAACTAATTAATTAGATTTAATTTAGATTTAATTTAGCTAGATAAGATTTTTTTTTCAACAACAAAACTATTATGTTAGTTTAAATTAGTCTAATTTAGTATAATATATTTATATTTATATATTTAACATTGATTTTAATTAATTAATTAAATTATTATTTATTAATTAATATTTATAAAACAATTAAAACTAAAATTATTATTAATAAACATATTATTATTTGAAGGTTAATGATTATAGATTTTTTTTGGAAAAAAATTACTTAAAAAATAAAACAATTAATGTCTGGCACAATTTTTTTAAATATATAAATTTATATATTAAAATATAATTAAGTTTATATATATATATATATTTAGAAATATATGAGTTTATTTTTGTAAATATTTTAGTAAAATGTTTTTAAAAAAATTATTATTTATTTTTTTTAACTACAAATGCATATGAATTATATTCAGTATATTATATATTATTAGATATATATGTAAAAAAAACTTAAATATAATATGAGGTTTGCGTGTATTCAACTATTTTTTATTTTGTTTAAATATATAAGCATTTATTATGAAATTTATATCATTTATATTGTGTTTATGTTTAGATATAATAATTTTTAAATAATATTAATATATTTTAATAAAATAAAACCAAAAACCAAAAGCAAAAACAAAACAAAAAAAATCTTTAATATGAGACAAACATTTATTATATCATATTATTAATAATAATAATAATAAATGTATTATTGATTATTATTTATTATTATTATTATAAGTTTATAATAATATTATAATAATTCTAGTAATTAAATATATATATATATCTGAATATTAAATATTAAATAATAATACGGTTAAAATATATTGAAATATTAATATATTATCCAGTACCAATATCTAAATATGCTTTTTTCTATTATATTTTATAATTAAATATTTAATATTTTTTTGTACTCTGTCATTATTATTTATATTATATTAATATTGTAATAATATAATACTAGTATAATAAAATCTAATATTATTTATTTATTTATTTTTTAATATATTTAATAATTTAAAATTACAATGTTAATTTTAAGGAAGAAAATAAATATATTATCTTTTTTTAATAAATAATAATATTTTTTATTACAAATTTTTTTTAGTTTTTTTAAAGTTATTAGTACTTCAATAATAATAATAATAATAACATTAATAATAGTAATAATAATAATATCATTATTATAAAAATATTTCTATTATATGAGAAAAATGCAATATTGTAATGTATTATTACAACAAAAAATAAAACTAATTAATATTGATCTAGATGATTTTATTTTGTGTTATTTTCATTAAATTCTAGACAATATGACCTTGGTATTCTCTAGTATCAATTGTTTTAACATTTCTATTACTATTATTATTAGTTGTTTTTAATAAAATAAAATTATTAACAAATATCTATTATTGCCAGAAAAAAATAAATAACGGAAAACAAAATTTTTAATATATAATATACTGTATATATATTTTTTTGACAATTTAATGTTTTTTCATAATGATTTATTTTATGATTAATTATTATGTTTAAAATTGTTTACTCGCTATTTGTAAAAATCATTACATTACACACACACACACAAACAAAATACAGTACTTATTATAAAAATTATTATATCATATATTAATAGCTATAATAATGATAAGTCATGTATAAAATTAGGCTAATATATAATATATATATAACTATTAATATATATATTAAATAGTAATATATTATACAACCAAATAATTAATTGTTTTCAAAGATTTACCTAATTTACCATTAGCTAAATTAGATATTATTATTATTATTATTATTATTATCACTTACTAATACTATTACTGTATTATAAAATATTTTTTTTCTGGAAAAAAATATATATTAATATAAACTAAATTACAATTATGTAAATATTTTTTGTTGGCTGAAAAAAAATTCAACTAGATAACTTTTATATATAAATTTTTCAGTAATATTATTATTATTATACTAATGTTGTTTTCTACTGTAGTAATATATAAGCAACAAAAAAATTCAGACAAAACACAATTATTAGCAATGTTTATGTACAGTATATATAGATATAGATATATATAAATATAGGAAATACTAAGATACAGACAAATACTCAATTAATAGGTAAATAAAAAATATTTATATTTGCAATAATATTAATAATTGTATTATTTTTCTACTAATAATAATGTCATTAGTGTTATATATATATATATATATATATATATATATATATATATATAGACTATATGTTGCATAAATAAAATTAGATCTATATATTCAATAATAACAATAAGATTATTAATAATAATATTATTATTACTACTAATTATTTGTATATATATATCATTAATTGAACTACTTGTAAGTTATTATTATTATTATTATTATTATTATTTGAAAATAACAAATTAATAATTGTTTATTTATTTATCTAACAAATTAATGTTAATAGTATTTCTTAATAAATTAAATTAAACAACAATAAAAAAAAATTCCTTATATTATTAATGTACTGTATATGTTATAAATATTATTAGATAACAATGTTATATATATATATATATATATATATATATATAGTAGTATATATTTTTATTTATTTTTAATCAATTATTTTATGTAGACATATATATTATATAAGTATTAGTATAAGTCGATGTCCAACAAATATTATTATCATTATTATTATTATTATATTATGTAGCAACAAGTTAATAGTATATATAAGTATACATATATATATATAATACTCACAGTAATAATAACAAAATAAACCCAAAATGTCAATATTTCTCAATAATTATATATATATATATATATACTATTGTTAGGTGATTTATTTTATTCAATATATATATATATATAATTAATTTTATTTATTTGTCTACTTATTATAGTCTTAATATTTCTAAAATAATATATAATTAAATATATTTTTTTATAAAAAAAAGTAATTTTTTAAATCCAATATAAAAAATAAATTTTATTGCATATTTTTCTAACTATTTTCTTGTAATAATAATAATAAATATTACATATCAATTGCATATCAATTTTTTGTTGTTGATATTATTGTTGTGTTATTAACACAACAACAAAAAATGTTTAATACATGTAATAAGTTCACTACTAAACACAATATCAATCATAATATACTAATAATAATAATAATAATAATAATTGTCATTATTATATACTTATTAATATAATTGTTATTTTTGCATTTATTATTATTATTATACAAATAATAAATATAAATAAAATACTAGTAATAATAATAATACAGCAATACTAGGATAAAAATTATTATTATTATTATTATTGACTTTTTATTTGATAAAACACTGTATAAAATTTGTTATATAAAAATTATTTTAACTGTATAAATTAATATTTTTGTTAAATAGATAATTATAAAAAAAACAAACAACAACAAATTACTAAATAAAAACTTTTTATAAATTAAAATATATATATATATTTTCAACTAATATTTAATTAGAAAAATTATTTAAAGAAAGACATTGTATAATAATTGTTTAAAATAATTATTTTATTTAATAATAATTAATTGTATAAAAAAAATATTAACTAATTAACTTATTATTATTACTATTATTTTACATTTGTAGTCAAGCAATTACTAATGAATTTTAAGTTATTTAAGATAAAAATTAATAAGTAATAATAATAATAATAATAAAATGATACTGTATAATAATTAATTTTGATAAAATATATTAATATTTGCACTCTATTTTATCAAGCAATTATGTACTAATTTTATATACTATTAAAAAATTATATATTTATATATATCAAATAATTATCATGAAATAATTATATATATATATATATATATATATAAATGATAAAAAAAATTATTAATAAAATCTAAATAACTTTAAGTAATTAAGTAACATACAAAAAAAATTTACTAATAACTAATAGATAATATTAATAAATTTATTTATATTAATAATTTTATAGTACATTATTTAATTAACCTTGATAGCGCAAGCAAACTAAAATAGCAACAATTATTTAATATAAAAATTAATAATTAGATAATAAAAAAAAATTCAAAACTAAATTGTAGTTTTTTTTGCTGGTTGTTATTGGTGTTTGAAATTATTCAAACAAACAAACACAAAAAAACTTTTAGTATAAATATTTACTAAATTAATTAATTAATTAATTAAAATTTTAAAAAATACAATAAAAACTACTTACTAGAGGCTTCATCATAGATGTTAACTTCATCGTCGGTATCGCCGTTAATATCGCCGCCACTGCCGCCGCCGGTAACCATTGCCATATGAGGTCCATGATGTCCTACGACACCACCAATACCGACACCACCACCACCACTGATAACTACCTGTCCCTGACCACTACCACCACCACCATTGCCTGGATGAACGAGACCCAGTTCCTCCTCCTGTTGTTGTTGTCGTCTAAGGGCTACCTGTGCAGCCATTATACGTTTACGTTCATCAGTTAGATTGCACTTGGTACAATGACAATCGCGCCATGGACAAAAACGTTTATGATCTAGATTAAATTGGATTTTAATTTTATTTAAAAAAAAATTAATTATTAAAATTTAATTAATTATGGAAAAATTAAAGTTTACATGTATTTTGTGTGTGTGTGTGTGTGTGTGTGTGTGTGTGTGTGTGTGTGTGTGTGTGTGTGTGTGTGTGTGTGTGTGTGTGTTATATATATAATTGTAAAACTATAAAATATTAAAATTAAAAAAATGTTACCTAGTTAATATATATATATATATATATATATATATATATATATATATATATATATATATATTGATAACTTTTAATATTATTTATAGGACTATTTTAATTTGTATACTTTTAAAATGTTACACTTAATTACATTTTTTTCTCTCATATATAAATATATATATATAATATATATACAGATATATTTTTTTTGCTTAGTTTTAATGTTAAAGATCTTAATGTTTTATTAAAAATTTTATTTACCAGTAAATATAAATACTATAATAATTTATATTCAATAGTGTATATTAAAGTTTATATATATATATAAATTAAATCTCTTAAGTAATTTTTTTAATGATAAAAACAAACTAACAAATATATATATATAACATAATAATTATTACATAAATTATTTCATATACTATTTTATAAAATAGTTTATAAATAAAAAACTTTTAGTTTATAAAAAAAATTATAAACTATTACTCTCTAAAGTAATTTATAATAAATTATTTATATTTTTTCTTATAAATAAATTTAGAAATAAATAAATAACAAAATAAAATCAAAATCTAGAAATTTTGTATAAATATTAAGTAATAATTTATTTATTTTTTTCTGAAAGTTAACTTACAATACACTATGACTTTACTAATAAATTATTAGATATTTTACATTTTAGATCTTTAAAAAAATAAAAAATTGTGTACAATTTTTTATATTTAATTCAAAATTATAAATTATTTCCTAATTTACTTAATTTTATAGTCAACTTAGTATATTTATATACTACTTAAAAATTTGTATTTTTTAAAAAATAAATTGATTTAATATATTTAATGTAAAGTAGATTATTAGTCATAAATATATTTTTTTAAAAATACATTTTAATTTTACTATTTAATAAGTTGAATATATATATAATATATTATTTATATAAATAACATTTATTAAGTTAGAAATTAAAATGTTATTTTATATTCATATGAATGTATATTTCTAATATATTTTTTGGATATATATAATTTTTACCATGCTAATTTAATTAGTGATTATAAATAAAGTATTTTTTGATTGATTTATTGAAGTTAATAAAATTAAATTTTGTTAATAAATTAATTATTTAATAATAACTAATAAGTATAACTAAATGTATTATTATTATTATTATTACTACAGTACTATTAAACTATAAGTTTGTAATCAATTAGTATATTTAACTTTTAACATAATTTTTACAACTACTATACAAACAGGAAAAAAACATATTTGAAAAGTTGAAAATTTTAATTAAAACTTAAATTAATTAACAAAACTACATGTATAGATTTTATATGCAATATTTTCTACTAATATTAGATTTAAATATATTAATTTTATTAATTGATATTAATATTATTTTTTTTTTAAATTTTGTTCATTAAGTTAATCATAAAAATATCATATCTACCATAAAAGTGTATTCAATAAAAGTAATAATAATAATAATAATAATTATTATTATTATTATTAGTATAAATGTTAATATTAATGAAATCTTTATAATTTACATTCAAGATTATACCGGTATATATATATATATATATATATGTATAATTACTAAATTATTTCCAAAAAAAATAATAATTTTCAACTATAGTTTTATTTAATAAATATATTTCATTTTTTTTTTTAAAAACTTAAACAAAAAATGTTTGTTAAAATGAGTTATTTATTTCTAAACAATAAGTCACGCATCCCAACAATTATTGTTGTATTATATAAATAAATATATATTTATAAAGTTATATATATATATATATATATATATATGTATTGACATTTATTTTTTATTTGATAACAAGCATTTTACTACTATCGCCTATTTCCTACATAAGCTTATGTATAGACACACACACATAAATACATATACACTCTACTGTGTGTGTGTGTGTTTGAGAGAGAGAGAGAGAGAGAGAGAGAGAGAGAGAGAGAGAGAGAGAGAGAGAGTACAGTGATAACTATATAATTATCATTTACTATATAACTATTATATATATAATATATATCATCATATATTTTACAGTTATATACAATATATCTTAGTCTATATACCGGTATATATATATATACATACAGTATATTTAGTATAACCCTGTAATACCTTTACTACTTTTACCCAAACTATTGCTACATATTAGCAACAAAATTGTTAACTCTGGCTATATATTGTTGAAATTATTGTTTGTATTATATAATAGTATTGAATGCGAAAATTAGATATTATGATTGGGACAGATATGCTACAGGTATTATAATATACGGTATATTTTATACTATACTATATACAGTGTAAAGTAGAAACACACACTAAAACAATAAATATATTACAGTTATAGTGAGTGAGTGGGTGAGTCATTGAATAATAGAGAGAGAGAGAGAGAGAGAGAGAAATTGAATAGATATCTACAGTATATAACCGGTATATAGATTGAGGTATACCCTAACACACACATACATAACACAGTATATATAACTTATTAATACAAATTTAATTATAAATTATATAACTATTGAAAAAATAAAATAAAATCAACAAAAAAATACAACGACTCACTTTTGACGGGAACGTGACTGCCGTGATTACGGCATTTTGAACACTTCGGGTTACGGGTGCCACCACTGGTCGACTGGACAAACCCGTTGCGAGCGCCGGCAGCCGATAGGGACGACGGCGGCGACAACGATTGGTCGGCCAATTGATCGCCGCTGATCATCGGCAGCGGCGGCGGCGGCGGTGGTACGCCGTTACTACTCATACGACCGCTACCACCACCAATGTTATTTGCCGCGGCTGCGGCGGCAATCATGGACAGGTGCTGCTGATGCTGGTGTTGTTGTTGCTGATGATGATGATGGCTATTATTGATTAGCAACCGACTAACCAAATGTCCATTTTGTTGTTGCTGGTGGTGCTGGTGGTGCTGTTGCTGCTGATGATGATGATGGTTAACAATACTAATATCATTGTTATTGCTATTATTGTTATTAGCACTTCCAACACCACCGCCACCACCACTACCATTGTCCTCATCAGCAATAGCTATCGGTGACAACTGTTGCTGATGTTGTTGTTGTTGGCGATGGTTAGGATCTGGCGATGGTATCGATGACGATGACGACGACGACATCGCTAGTCCAGCACTAGTAGCCGAAGTAGTAGTAGTGGTAGTATTTGGCGATAGTTTACCGTTTAATGGCATCGATTGTTGATTCATATCGCGTGCCCGACTGGTCTCGACAATTGTTAATTTCATTTAACTATTTATTTTTCAATAAATACAAAACAAAAAAATAAAATAAATGTCCGAAAAATGTGTTAAACACAGACACACACACCGAAAATATTTTTTTCTTAATTGTTTTTTTTTGTTATTAATTGTCTTTTAATATGGATTTATATAAACTGTTTTTTCCGCCCGAAAAAAAATCGGATCTAAATATATATATATATATATAAATAAAAGAAAATAAATGATTATTTATTTTTTTTAATTAATTGAAAATTTTTTAATTTGTAATTATTGTTTATTATATTAATAATAGTTTTTTATATATAGATTTTTTAAAATTTAATTATTGTATTCTAATTGTATAACAATTTTAGATATATTGATATAAATATATATATATATATATAATATATTTAAGATATATATAATACATCTAACAAAAAATTATAATAAACAAAACAAATATATATATATAATTAAATATAAATAAAATTAATTTATATTTTTATAATTATTAAAACTAGTTTTACAAACTTTTTAAGTTTTTCGGTATAAATCCATTTTCCGCTAATTTTTCATAAATATATATCATATTTATATTCAAATTTAATATAAATGTTTTGTCAATAATAATAATAATAATGTTTTCTTATTGTAATTTATAGCACACAATAAATATATTATAAGTGTATTATATTAAATAAGTTTATAAATAAATACAGGCAATTGTAATGATGAGATTGATTTGAAAATATTATTATTGTTGTTAAACTATTAACAATAATAATAATAATAAATTTTTGTTCAGTTTATTATTATTATCAATATTATATATATATATAGTTTTTTTTATAAACACATTTCTATAAAGCACCACATTTACTGAAAATTTTATAAAAAACCAAAATTAATGATTATATTAGTTTGTTAACAACAACAAAAAAATTATATAACAATATATTATTATTAACACTTGTTGGTTACATATTATAACATACAGTGTATCATATATACAGTATTTATATAAACTGTATAAAATACATACAGAAACACTATATTATATTTAAATTTTAATATTGTATTTATTTATATTAAGCAATATAATAATAATAATAATAATAATAATAATAATAATAATAATAATATCAACCTTAATATAATATAAATATATTAGCGATAAGATATAATTGAAAAAATGCAAACATAAGCAAAATTGTTTTACTTATATTTATATCAATGTATTTTAATTATTTGATATATATATATATAAATAAAAGTTTATATAATAACTTATTTATGTTTTTATTATCAGAGGAAATAATAATTTTGCAAAAAAAAATCTAGTTTTTCTTTCACTATAAAAATTTAAAAAAAATTATTTAAAGTAAATGTAATTTTTTTGGCGATAACTGTGTAATAGTTTTTTTTTCTTCAAATAATACTGTTATAAGTTTATGAACTAATTTAATAGTTTAACTAAATTAATGAGACATTAATTAATTATTATGTTATTAAAACTTTATTAAACGTATTAATATTATTGTTATTATTTTATAATAACAATAATATACTGTATATACATATA